ATTTAATTTAGGCTTTTATTCGCACATAAAGATTGATCAGCAAACATAAACAGAAGCTCAACCAAATGTTTTTGACATGCGTGAACAAACCTCAAGGAAGTAAACGTGTTGCATTGCACAAGAATGAACCTCATTGGTTCTTCAACACGTCAAGCGAACATGCTTGAGCTTCCGTTTACCTCTGATGTTGATGAATGTTTATTTTTGAATAAAAGCAATCTGATATCACAAAGAGTATTTGGACTAAAACTTTCAGGTCATGGATTAGTATTGCGATCTTTTTTATGAACTCTTTGAAGCGTCAAAGTGTCAGTTGCGTAGCTGTCAATGGAGGGACGGAAGGCTCTCAGATTTAATCAAAGAGATCTTCATTTGAGTTCATTTGAGTTTGGAATGACAATGGTGAGTAGGTGAACTAACCTTTTAATGTTGGAGAAGATTTTGGACCAATGACATTGCACAGAGCTAGATCATTTGACCCTAGTAATTACCATATTAAATCTGACTAAAGAAGTAATTTGCAGAGAATGTATCTAGAATAACTATTTTCCATCATATCATGCATACATTTTATCTTTTATTTTCATTTGCATGTTTTAGCTGTATAACATTCATTTCTAAAAAAAAAAAAAAATAGTTTTTGTGATAAAGCAGGCATAGCTTTTTGCCTCCAAAACAAGGGAGTCTGTTCATGTTTGTCATCTAATAAGAATGAATGGAACCAGCCAAGCTGAAAATATGCACCAGCACTAATATTTATAAAATGACTGTCATTATAATCCTCACAGCAGCACCCAGATATGACTTTCCTGCAGTGTAATTGCACTGCATGTATTTTGTGTCTGAGGATAGGGAAACAGCATATGCTTCTTTATTTTATTAATTAGTTTGTTTGTTTTTAGTTTTTTGTTGGTTTTTTTTGCCATTTTGAAAAGGATTTGGACAATAAGGAACAGGATTAGTAAGGAATTTAATTTAGGGAAGATCATTTTTTAGGGAATTATTTTGGTTCCAAATAATAATAGTGATTCATTTATGATTCCACTAACAATCATAAATGAATGATTTTTTTCTGGGGATGCTAAGGGGGGACTTAACAGTTCGAAGGGGGTGCTAAGAATAAATAATACTTTATATAAACAAAATACTTTATTTAATTTGAAATATATTACGTTGCAAATATATTTTTAATGTCTTTAAATATATTAAAATTAATAGCGTCATGCTTTAACCTACTGTCACAATACAACGCTTAACATACTTTAAAATAATTGTACTTTATATTTTATAAAGATATATTTTGAAAATTAAAATTCAAGTTTATTTAAGTGTATTCATTTGCACTTTACTTAAATGTATTTTAGGTATATTTTTAACTGTGTACTGAAAATGATCATTGTAATGATCAATGATCAATGTAACAATGAAGTTGAAATATACTTTCAAAATATATTATACAATAGTATATTGAAGTATAGCTAAGTAATATTTGTTTATTAATGTGCATTTGTTATTGAAGATAAAGTGTGCAACATGTAATATTTGAAATAAGCCAAAGGTATTACTGGGCATTTACTTTTACATTTTTGCTTAACTTTATCATCACCTTATCAGCTCTTTGAATCAATAACGGTTTGTTGAAAATTGTCGACTTGCATTCCCATAGACATATAGCCTATAGGCGTACTATGTATAGCCTATATTGTAACTTTAAAACTGTTGTAAGCTAAATTAAGGAACACGCTTGTGCTTTTAAAACGTAAACAAAATGGAAAAGTTGAACTTTTAATTTGACAAGGCATTTTAAAACATGGTGTGAGAAACTGAAAAATCAGAAGAGATGTAATAACAATCAAAGACTTTGCTCACAGCAGCATGACTCGTATCTTTCAGCAGTAGCACGTCCGTACTTGTCTGTCAGTCCGTAGCAGATCTAGTCCGCCAAGACTATTAAATTGATTGCCATTAACAATAACATGCTAAACTATTCAGAGAGTTGTCATGTTGGGTTTGAAACAACACAAGGCTGTTTAAGGATGTCATTGCCATGTCTCTGCTGATAGACCTTGTTAAAGTGTGTGTTTGTAAGAAAAAATAGATATTTAACTAATTAATCTGATGAAAAGCACTTTTTTTTTTCTTGGTTACGCAGCCAGCCTCATTTCAGAATGTGTACAGTAGATCTAACTTTGTTGAAACGACAATCACTTCCACAATGGTGTTTGGATATAAGCAGCCTAGCTCAATTAATTAGCCAGTTCTGTGTCTCATTTCACCCCTTTAATTAGTTGTGAGTTAATGAGCTGCACACTAATGGGAGTGATTCCTTATCAATTGAATAGCTTTCAGCAATTAAGGCCGTCTCAAATCAGCAGGTGCGAGAAAAAAGGCCTCAGTCTCACATCCTGATATTGATTTGAGCATAAGGCGGTGATGATTCAACTGGACTTCATAGACGGTGGAAACCATTAGCACGTCTTTAAGTAAGACACAAATCACACTCCTCAAAGGATGGCAGACATTTTAGTGGCGAAAAAATCCAATGCTTTTCAATGCAGGGTAATTGCGAGTTATGCTGTTTACTATAGCGAGCCATGCTGTTGCACATATAAATCTGTGCATTATGTCACCTTTTCACTAATGATCCTAGCAGGAATGACACATGCAATTACACATCCATAAGCAAGTACGCTTTCTGTACATTCATTTTAGATCCCTTGGTGCATAATGGCACAACTTATGAACCAGACACTGTAGACAGAAGTGGATGGCATTGTCAGGCCTTGTTAGAGTTTGGCAGATTTCATGATGCTCTTCTGATGAAGGCATGTTTTTTTTATTTTTATTATTATTACTATTTTTTATATAACCAGACTCAAAATATGCATCAATTCAGTGTGCAATTTACTGTCTAATTTGACTACCTCCACTTCAGCGTGTGTACCCTGGGGCGGGGGAAATTGGTAACAAAAGCTTTGCATTTCATGCCTTTTTGATCCAGCTGCTCATTTCTGTCTGATTAAGTTGGACTTTAATTCAAAGTGCCATTCTCAAAGCTGACAGAGCCTGTTGTTTTGAAGTATTACCCGCGTGCTGTCAGAGAAACATTCTGGCTTCTTTGATTACTTATTACGGAATAAAAAAGAGTTGACTCGCCGTTATGTGTGGTCATGATGATTGTGGTAAATGAAGAGAAAGCCATTTTCTTGATGCAATGTGTATTAAGGGATGGCTAATTCTGTCATAATTTACTCACACTTGTGTTATTCCAAGCCCGTATAAGTCTGCAGAAAAGTATAATAATAATGAAATGTAGCATGTTTGACATTTACCATTTCATTCTTCTTCTTTCTAAACACTTGAAATCCTGATTATTCACAAATTATGATTCTATTGACCAATATGGTAAAACAAAAAGATACATTTTCCACTTAAAGTAAATGTTTGCAGATAAAATTGTGCACACATTTATTTTACTATTCTAGCAAATGGGTCTTTTGCAAGGATATTGTCATGTTTGGGATCTGAGAAATCAAAAAGTTTGCTCCACGCAAAAGAGAAAATCATTTAGTTTTATCTTTTAGAAGGACATGAGGTGGCAACAATGTGCATGTCTGCAAGTCTAAAATGAAACGAAAATTGTTACTGTTACTGTGTACTCTATTTCATTGTTTCCCGAAAATGCAAAGGTATTTACACTTTACAGTTAATTTATTATTACACCCAATTTACCTTGTGTGCAACCACTTAAGTTTAGCCAAATAAATATTTTGTTAATGTGTTTGCTTCATAATGTCTGAAAATCTGCTGACCGTTTTACTGTGGTGGACACGCTGAGTCCCAGGCCAGGCCTCCAGAGGGATCCGGGAACCCTGTGACTGGTATTTTTTTCCTGAGTGCTTGAGAACAGTGACTGTGGGAAAGGATATCTCTCAAATACAATTTCAGACACATATTACATATTGATCAAAGCCGGTCAGTGAACATTAGTTGACTGAGTGTCTACAACCATAGATGGACACTTGAGCAGGTGATTATGCTAAACTAACACAATACAACAGGACAAAGGTGTCAGCTAACACGACATTAAAAAGATTAATGTCTAATTGACTCCAAGTAAGCACTAGTAAAAACCTGTAATTTATAGTTAATACAAATACAAACCAAAACATTCTCTAATGTGAATGGTTATCCCCTTTTCTTCACGAATAATCTCAATGGTTTCACAACCAGAAGTTATGCAATGTTGTGGCATCATCGATTCTTGCTGCGAGTGACGACACACTGACCGTTCCAAGATGGAGTGGGGCATCTGCGTATAGGCTACTTATATATCTGTTTCAGACAAGGACAAAGAGAGAATCAAGCTTGTTAGAGAGAAACTTGAGCAAATACGACACTTGAGCAAATACCTCCAAACTCCCCCTGGACATTGCATTCCTATCTGAGGATAATCTAATTTTAAAGGTCTTGTGGCAAAAGGGCATCAGGAATTAAATTATGAATGTGAGTGAGACTAGGCAGAATTTCTTTCTGGTCACCAGACCACCATAGGTCAGCTTCCTTAGAAAGCAGCTCTATTTTACCTTGGGTGAAAACATTGCATTGAAAAAAAAAACCAACCCTGCGTTCTCTTATTTCCTTGCTTTACTAACATAAACTGAGACCTTTCCTTTGGAAGAATGTTCTATATGGGGGACATTTTTACTTTTTTCCTAAACCAAGTGTAACCCTGATGTATATATTTGTTATTTTCTATATACTGAGGGTGAAATTATGATAAAATGTTTATTTTGTTTTATTGTAATTTGAAATAACTTTGGTGAATATGTATTGTTTTTTTTCATGCATATATTAGAGTTTGGTTGTAAATGTGAAAAACGTGTCAAATCTCATTTTGGGTTGTGAGTTGATGTGCATTGGTCAATTAAGAGACTGACAAGTTTATGATCCAATCAGATTTGCGGAGGGGAGGGAATTGGAAACCGAAAAAGTTCGTGAGAGGAGTGAGAACGTTCGAGAAAGATTTCGAGAGGGTTTCAAGACACAGTTTCAGCGATGTCTTTGAGTGTTTAAAACAAGAATCTGTCCTGTAATCAGAACTACTGCTCGTATTTCTTCGCAAAGGAAGTGACTTATTAAAACTTTGGACTATTTTATGTAAGTTTGCTGTCGTTGCACGTTTGGCTCGGCCAGAGTTCAACGCTGTGGATCTTATACTTTCAAGACTGAAACTGTTGTTGTCTCATCTGCGTAGCTAGCTAAACCGAGTGTTGTCTCCTGATAAAAACGCAGACTTTCGTTTCCCGGGTTGGAGATGTCGGTGAGCGTCGTCCAGTGACATGGTGAGAATCCGACGCCCAGGCCTGTTGTGCACGGAGACATTGCAGCACGTGGGACTCAGGACCATTTCAGTGTGGTGAATGTGAATCTGTTTCAACGCACACTAGCAACCAGATTGAGGTAACCAGTTAACTCAAACGATCTTTTTGTTTGCTCTCTGGAGCGAAGGGACCAGCTTCATTGTCTCGGCCACTATGCACTCAAGCTCCGAATCAGGCATGCAACGGGGTGCGATGTGTGTAAACATTCAAGTGCACCAACAACATTGTAACTGTGTTTTTCCTTTTATTTTCATTGTATTTAGAGTATTGGAAAGCTTAAAAGGGTTAGCAAACCTTGTAAACGTTATACAGAGTTATAAATCAAGATTCATGCTTATATGGTTAACTTTAGTGACTTCAAAATCTTTTCAAGACTGAAAACGGAATGCGATTAGAGATTATAACAAAGCTATTTTCAAAAACGTACATTCTGAAAGCCAGTTTCAAAGAGTTTGCATTTTCAGGACCTCAAATAGCTGATATTGTGTAAATAAACGTTCAAAACGCATACAAAGTTTTAGTTGAAACCGGTGTTGTGTAAACGGCCACTAAATCAATGAAAACAGATCAAGCAGCCATTTTGTCTCTCCTAACAGCCATTTTCCCCATTAACTGACAAAAACTTACAAAAAATCTCATTGCCAGCGCAGTGTCAAAGCACTTTGTTGAAGACTTTCTTTGGTTTCTTCTCAGATGATGTAGTCGAAATCTGATGGGCTGGTTACAATGGCAAAGCCGCCTTCTGTGTTTCTGCTTTAATTAAACGCGCTCTAAGAGGAGTGATGGCACTGCAGCCCCATTGTGTCAGTTTCCAGGATGCAGATCTAGGGAAGTGGCTGATGCAGACTTTTTACACTCCGTTTTGACAATGTACACATTATGCCTCAGTGTACACAAGTGTCTTTCTATTTGCTTTCATCAGAGTTGGGGGGGTAAAGGGGGTGACCCATTTCTTGAAAACTGTAGGATATGCCTCAGGAAACTGATTGTAGTGTCTATGCAAGGAGCGTTGGTAGGTATGCATGTTGCACTCCATCTTATGAAGAAAACTGCTTGGAAATATTGGAGTCAATGTACTTGGACTTTTCTCTTAGTCAAGTACAGCTAAGTGTAATTTTAAGTATGTTTCTGAGAAGTATATAATATGAAAGTATACTTTCTTATTTTCCAGTTTAAAATAAGTATAGTAATTTGAATAATCTTCTTTTTTGTTAGGGTGTTCATTTTTATTTATTGAAAAAATAAAATAAAAAATATAGTACAAATAAATTAAAGAATGTGAGCTGTGTGATTCCTGATGTGAATTTCTCACTAGTAGTAATAGATGCAGGACTGTGGAAGCTGTTTGGAATATTAATAACTTGAAGAAGAGACGTACATTTCAATGGGCTGAAAAAAAAAAAAAATCAACGGAGGACCTGGGAAATGTGCCATGAACATTTAAAATCTAGTTCATCCCCCGCTCGAAATCCCAAACAATTAAGAGCCACACATCAGAACTATTATAAGGGAGACAATTCCAGGCTCTTTCCTTTCTTATTTGTTGCATCCTTTCGAAGGCTTTGATGGAAGAGAGCGTGTAGAATGAATAATTTAAGACTTACCGAATATCTGCTGTTATCATGGTGCTGCCTTTTGAAACATTTGGAGAATTTTCTTGGTGTTTAATTACAGGCACAATAAAAATGTTGCTTAAAGATGTAAATGATTGCCCGCTGTCTTCCAAAAACAAGACTGTAGATTCGATATTTGACAGGGTTCAGCTTCAATGGGCAACTATGGATTCCTCATTCTTGACCATAAGTCTTTCTTTCCCCATCAGAGTGGTTAATAATTCAGAAGTGCGGTATGTTAGATTGCAGCCGGTGGTAGACGAACACGTTCTCAAAGAATGGTGTGGCTGAGATTGAGGCGTCTGCTTGGCCTCTGCAGAACGTATTACACTCATGAATAATCCTTTCAAGACTTCTTTCCATGAATAACCACCACTCTCAGGCCAAAATTACATTAAAAAAGAATTAATAGGACTAATATTTTGAATGAACTGTTAGTCTAGAATCTAGACGATAACCGTTTTCTCAGGTGCTCTCATTCAAGGATAGAAAGACTGATGTAAGTGGAGGCAATTCAGTGTCTCGCCATAAAAATTTTTCTGAATTTTCCCAGGTGGGAGCAGTGTTTACTGACAGCCACACAAGAGATGACATGAGTGAGAAAATTATCTGTGATAGATGAAACGTGTGGAAAAAAAAAAAAAATCTGAAGGAATCCCAAGAGGGTCAAAAAGCGTACCAGTTTCCATTTTGAATTTACGTATGTGAATGTATGTAACATTTCTTGTTAAGCCAGGGATTAAACAAAGCTCTAGTCCGAAAAATGAAACTTGGGTGTCATGCTACAGATACCTCAAATAATGTGGCTTGTTGCAAAGATAAGAGGTTAGTTATTTTTCAGAGCGATTGGATTTACATCTTTACCCTTGCGAAAAGATCTATGACTGCGTTCAGACAAACTACATCCACCATGTTGTCACTGTCATGTGACCTATTGCATCAGTTGACTTGGTTCACTGCCATTCATAACTCCTCTCTGGGTTCTCATAGAATAATAATGTGTCCATCGAATGCACACTTAGAATTAAACTGTTTTTCGAATACCATGGACTAGTGCTGTCAAATCGATTAATCGAGTTTAATCGCATCTAACATAAATGTTTGTGATATGATATCGCATGTAATAGGGAAGTATTCAGTTTCGAACATGGCATCATAACACCTTAGCAACTGCATAGCAACCCACTAACATCTCTTGAGGCACCTTAGCAACCGCATAGCTACCAATCAAAACTTAGTTTTGAATGGGTTAGCATCTTTTTTTGTTCAATTGAATTGTAAATAAAAACATTGCACGTAATGAAACAGGTGTTTGTGTCTCATATTAAATTCATTTAAATCAACCTGCAATAAAATAGTCGCATAAATACAGAAACATTTTCACAAGGGTTGCGCCACTGTATTACAACAAACTGAGCTAATGTTTTCTTTCCCTGTGTGATTCTGCCATTAGGTGGTTAATTACCTGAGATGTGATATGCACAAATATAGCAGCTTGTCTATGTATTACAAATGCATGCTTTTACTCTTTTCTAACTGTGATGTGAATAAGATATATTGGGTATTCATGTTGACGTTTATTAGCTAGTGCTGCCTTCTTATCTGCACACTAAATCTGTCAAAGACACAGATGAACAGGCTGCCTGCCACCAGTACTGGAGGTGGATATGCTTGACAACATGAAAATAATCAAGACTTCATTTTTTTTTTCAAGTAATGAGATTAAGGCATACCAGAGCCTGTGAGGCACATGTCATGCACTGTACATTCTTGCACTTCTTTTCTCTTTATTAAACCTCATTTGAATTGCAACAACTCAAGATTTTCAGTGTCACTGGTGCTAATGCCTACGTGGGTAGTTATCTACTCAAACAGCATGTAATGGAGAAATTAGAATCAACAAACACACAATGTTCTCTGTTACAGATCTAGTTGGCAAGGACATAAAACAATTAAAAGTGATAGTTAAGACATTTACGTTGTTTCAAAAGATTTCTATTTCAAATAAATGTTGTTCATTTGAAATCATCAAAAAAATCCTGAAACAAAAAAAAAAAAAAAACATTTAACACAATTTCTGAATGATCATTTGATAATAGCTGCTGAAAATTCAGCTTTGCCATCAAAAGGGAAGAAAATACATTAAAATATATTAAAATAGCAGCCTCTGTAAGCATAAAAAAATCTTACCGACCCCAAACTTCTGAACAACATTTGTATTTATATGGTGTGTTTCATTATTTTGCAGATTTTATAACTGGTAAAACAAAGTACAGCTAAACAATAAAACGACTAAATTCAGTCTAATGGAATTGTTTTTCCACCACAGTAAACCAAAGCTCCAATGTATGACCGGGTGCTCACTGTAACTATGACAATGAATTAATTCCACACGCGCACACACGCACACACGCATATATATAACACCAAACTGTTTCAACAGGCAAAATATGATGCAATTATGCTGATAATATAAAATAAGAGGATAATATAAAACCTGAAATGGTTGAATTTGCAGTGGTCTGATTTATTTCTTCTACTTTAAAATTGATCCTTCTTGGCCATTGTGGTTTTGCCAAGTAAGACAAGTTCCTCTGGAACAAAATTTTTGTTCGAATATTCTGTCCTATCCCTACCCATAACTTTTCCCAAAAATCAGAGGGAAATGATCAGTGAAAACACAGAAAAGCACCTAACCCTGGGTATAAGCCAAAACTTGACATAGCCTAAACTGTAAAATTGTCCCTCAAATCTGATTGGTTGATTGAAATGTTATTCCAGGATCACCAAATATCCAGGAACTTGTTGTACTTAGTAAAGTCACATTAAAAGGGAGGTTGATTGCGATTTCATTTTTTTTTATTTTAAATAGTGTGTAATGTTGCTGTTGGTGCAGGAACAGTATCTGTAAAGTTGCAGCGCTGAAAGTTCAATGAAAGCAGAGATATCGTCTTAAAAATCAGGAAGTATATTGCCTACAAAAACGACTCGATTGGGACTACAGCTGGGTTTTAGACGTCACTAACCCACACATTTGCATCAACCCCTCCCTCCGGAATATGCAAAAAAAGGGCATGCGCATATTTCTGCGGCTAGTCGAGTGCGTTATGTTCACCCAACTGTCAGGTCTTCTGTGTTCGAGTTTCCCACGGACGCTTTACTTCGTCAACAATGGATACAATTTATGTTTGATTATGTTCCTGAAAATGACGATCGTAATCTAGCTCTCTGTGCTGCGCATTTTACGGAAGACAGCTTCCAGAATCTCCATGAATTCAACACCAGATTCAACAAGAAACTGTTACTAAAACATGATGCACTTTCAACTTTAAAACCAGAGGCAGCAGTTGTTGGGCCACAACCTGTAGGCTAAGACTTCATAATATTAAATGTATTTGCATGTATATTCCAGACGTAGCCTTGTTTTATTTTTTTTCAAATGCCAGCGCTGGCTTCATAGCTACTAGTTATGCTATTTTGTGTCTACGACAAACGCGTACAAACAAGTACTAATGTTGTAAATGTATTTTTCATGTATATATGAAGAGTTCAGATGCAAAAGCCTCTAAGTGCCATTTGAAATTTTCTTCTAGAATGATCATTTTTTATCAAGCTTGTATATTTAAGTTCAGTGATTTCACTTAAATGGCAATGATAATTACCTATTAATTGTTATTTAAGTGAAATTACTGAACTTAAATATACAACTTTGATAAAAATCATTATTAAAGAAGAAAATTTCAAATGGCATTTAGAGGCTTTTGCATCTGAACTCTTCATATGCTTTATGGCGTAATTTTCGATTTGATCAAGAACGTAAACTTGCCAACGCTGTTTGTGTTTAACATTAGTAGCCAGTCAGTTGCTATTGTTGCCAGTCAGATGCAATTGTGTAAAACAAACATGTCTAAAGTTAAAAAATGTAGCAAATTATCATTCAGAAACGTTTATTAAGAGCCGTGTGTGGTGAGGTTCTGTTTAACTCTCTTCATCGCGGCATTCTTGGTCTGATTCTGCCTCAAACTGATACTGGAGTTCGACACATATTTACATCTGGGCCGGACCTCATGACATGCACGTTTCGCCCGTAAAGGTAATGGCCGTTAATCTTCTGGACGTCGTGAGCAACAGTTTAGCCAATCACAACACACCGGGCCAAACTAACCAATCTGAGCCCACTGCCTGTTTCTGAGGGAGTGTTTTCATAGACTCGACCGGTTGTTTAGGGGACAGAGGAGAGCGCGGTTGACAATAAAGGGGAAGTTTATGAAAAATAAGACTTTTAAAAAAAGAAAAACCATGAATACATTTTATATTGCACCCCATAAATAAAATCATGCAAAGAAAAAAAAGCAGTCAACCCCCCTTTAACTGATGTTTCTTGTGGTTTATTGTACATTGTTATTTGGGAGAAGTAATTTTAGTAGTTCAGTGATGCAATGTCGTCATTTCCACTTAAACACAGGAAGCTTTGGATTCAGAAACTGATCGCGATGTCTTAATATAATGAGATTTCACTATTAATCATTATTTTTTGCAACCTAATTTTGTAATCTGAGCGCACAACAGTTAAACAGCTCTTTAAGTTTTGGGCTTAGGTAAGTCACATACAGTATATATATATATATA